TTATGGAAGTGAACTAATAGAGATAGCAAATTAGAGATAATAGATTGGAGATAAGACATTAGGGATACTAGATTGCAGGCATATTCATTTATGTGTGGACACTCTTAACTATTTTTTTATTTATGAAAGACAATTGTTATTAAGTTGCTCGCAAAACTACAAAGATCTAAGTCTATGATAAGTTAACTTAAAAATATAACAAAATAAGTTAATAAGTGAAGTGCTAATTACTTAGTCATACAAACCGCTGTAGGTTTTATAAAAATATAATAACTAATTGAATAACCTTAATATGAAAACGTTTAATTAACTCCTAAACCCACAAATTTAAAAAGTTTACATTTAGTGACATATTTAAATTTTACCCAAATTTTCTGATTCATCATAAAAAAAAATAATTTAAGAATCTCTATTTCCAATTTAAACATTATGGATTATTTACCAAATCTATTGTATTTCAAATAAAAATGACAACCTTTGAAATATTCGTCCAACAAAATAAGAAACAATAATATTTTATAATTAGAAAAAAGGTTATTAAAATTTAGTAAAATGTGTATGGTGTAACTCTATATGTACGATATAGCTCATATCATATTGACTAGAAAGTCTATATCACATACTATTTGAACATTGACATCCATTGCACTATGATATTATATTGTTTGTATAAACCGTATTGACTTTAACCACAAGTACTCATTGATGATTTATGGAAAAATATTCTGTACAGCCCAGTATAATTGGATATTTTTAAATGTAGTTTTTATATAAAATTAATTTGTCTAGTTACCTACTAAAAACTCTAGTTAATTTTAAGGGTGATATTGCAGATTCAGGTATAACATTCTTTGACAAAAAACCCAAAACAGGTCAGTATTTTTTTCAATCTCTTTAAATTGTTAATCCAATGAATTATTACTCTCTTTATTGAAAATATAATATAATATGCTAAATACAAGAAACACTTGTAAATTACAAATACATTTTTTTTTAATCTCATAATTATTCTTGTTAATAGCCCAAAGTTCAGAATATTCTTATGGAGGTAAGAATGATTTTGTTTTATATTTTACTACCTAATGTTTTAAGGTATATAATTTGTATATTAAGTACGCAAAACATTTGTTGTGCATGTTCAATAATTTTTTTTTTACCATTTTTGTTAACAGATAACGTCGGAGGTAAGAACGATTATGTTTTATAATTTACTACCTATTGTTTTAAAACCTATTATTATGCACGTAAGGTACAAAAAACACTCATAAATTTTAAATTGTTCTATATTTTATCGTTCAGGTCAAAGTTATGAACAATCCTCAACAGGTTGGAAGTAAGAATGATTTTGTTTAATATTTTATTAATTAATGTTATAAAGTAAAAATAAGTTTCTAAACAGGTTGGTTATTTTCTTGCTTTGAAAAAACTGAACAATGTACAGATGAAGTAAATAATTTGTGTAATAACACACATAGATACCGACTATTGATTTATAACTTTCTAAAATGAACTAGTTATAAAATGCGATTATAATTTATAGTTATAGGTATATTTATGATAAAATAATTTAATATCTTGTACTATTATTAAAAAAAAAACTTTAGCAAAAAACAACCGTTTATTAGTATAAAGAAAAATATAAATACAATTTACTTTTGTAATTCTCTGGCTCGAACACAAGCTACGCTTAAGAAGTAGATATAATTCGAATGCAATTTGTTGGATAAAAATAAAACTTTTTGACAATAAATGTAGTAATAGATTATTTAAAGTCAATTTATAAAGTAAGTTTTTATTAAAAATATAATCAATTATTTTAATAAAACATATAAAGCACTTAAGAGCTTAAAAAGTTTAACGAGGAAATAGGACATCGGAATATTATATTTGGCATTTTTTCATTTTGAACCGGCCAATGTAATGTATGCAAATTACAAATTACTTATTTTTAAATATTTTATTTTTTTAGTTGCTGCTGGTGCAAAGGAGATTCGTAAGTTTTTAGTTATATATACTAAATAGAATATTGCCGCCCCGGGAGAACAATGACACAACTGCAAAATTTGATAAAATGGACTAAATGCTTCAATGTGCTTAGATATAGCGAACGTATAAGGTAGAAAAACGACGTAACTAAAGTTGTACTAATTAATTGTGTATTCATGAATTATTAACATTTTAGTAAAAAATAATTTGGTTTTTTGGTTCTCCTGTAAAATGTCATCTAGTTGTGTCATAGTTCTACCGAGGCGGCGATATATTTTTCTATACTATAATACGCCGTTTTAATTTATCTTATGATTAACTAAATAGTTTATTTCAACTAATTAATTTTTAAACAAAATTTAAATTAGAACAATTGCAATATAATGTTTTTGATATTATTTTTAAGAATTTTTTTTTAACAATTCACCTATTTTTTCTTTTTGTGTGCTACGCGAAAACATATTCATTTACAGTTAAACTAAGTAAAACAAATATTTAAATTAACTAATTGAACTTGATTGCGACTATTATGCGAAACCATCAAATTCAATTAGTTGATTTCAATATTTTATCTAAATTATATGCACGTAGTTTTTCCATTGAGTATATATTGTACAATACAAACTCAATGGATTTACTATTATTGAATATGCTTTCGCGTAGTTAGTAGTACACAATAATTAGGTGAGTTGTTAAAATAAATTATTTGATCGCGCTACTCTACATCGACATTTAGTTAAAATGTCTACCTACCGGTCGTTAACCTTTCTGTATATCCTAAGTACCTGTATTGTTCTATCCGTTAGTTATTGTCATTTGTCCATATTTATTTTATACTTTCGTGTGTTAGTAAAATAACAGTAAATAATAATTGAAGAACCGTCTTTCTTATATTATTTTGTCGACCAACCAAACATATTTCTACGCTTTTTACTAAAAAATATCTGATCGTCCTTTTTTCTCTTCAGAATATAAACCTAACCACTAATATTTTCTCGTGTGTTTGTCATAAATGATATAATAAAAAATAAAACTGATACTAAAATGAAAATTCTAAACGTTAAAATATTGAAATGGTTTACTGAAATGTAACTAAATCGTTTAATAAGACAAATGAACCTGTAAAGGCTTTAAAATGTCGAAGGAGAGAAAGATGTAATGTAAATTTAATAGACATGGATTATTTTTAAATATTTTTAGTTAATTTTTTTTAGATTAATGTGTTTTATTATAAACCGAAAGTTTTACGTATATTTATTTTAATTATTTAAAATCACTCGCTGTTATATACATTAAATATACATTTATTATCCGTTGATTATTTTTTAGTTTTAGATATATTTTCAATGTATAAATGTGTCATTATTACTAAAATACACCATTTTAATTTAGTCTATTTGATTTTAATTTTAAACAAAATAAATTTAATTAAATGCTTTTAATATTATTTTTGTTTGCACTTACAATTAGTTTTACTCTCATTGAATATGTTTTCACTTAGCACCAGAATACTTGACTTAATAGAGTTACTTTTAATATTTTACTACTACTTTTATTGGGTCATTTATTTTAAGTTTGTCAAACAATTGTAAACTTAAACAAATAGCATTTGAAATATGTCTACTTTCTATAAGCGTGAAATTTCATTTGATAACTTTGAAATTAAATAAAATTAAAGACATTAACATCACACATTATATAAATTTTAAGTTGCACTTTACTTTGTGAATTATTTTTAAATAATAAATTACACCTAATTGATCACATATATTATGTTTTTTTTAATTGTTGAAATACGTTAGCGATATATTATGTTATCCTTATCCTAACCTAACCATTCTGTATGTAAATTGTATGTACGAACCTACAGCCGTAATCACATGACGCCCCTGTACCTCCTTTGACTGTAATTATTTTATACTGTATTATGGTAATAAAAAACAATTAATAATTTTAGAACCGTAGTTGTTATTTATTAATCAATTTAACAAATTTCTACACTTTTTACTGTCAAATATCTGATCGTCCTATTCGGTATTCCTATACAGTACAAATTTTACCACTAACATTTTCTCATGCGTTTTTCATGAATGGAATAATACAAATTTAAACTAATACTAAAATAAATTGTCTAAAAATTGATTACTAAAGTATGACAGTCTTTAAAGAAAATAAACAATCATCTTAGTGTCTTTAAAACGTTAACTTCTGTAAAATATTGTAGTTTGCTGTAGGAAATAAATTTAATTTACCACAATTATCTATCTGTCGAGTAATTAATGTTTAATAATACAAATTATAAATGTATAATTGGAAAAAAGTTAAAAAAAGCATTTAATTGAAAATGTTGATTTTTAATACATATATTATAAAGTCAATGTTATAACACGATTCACGACAGTTGTAGGCAGCTATAATAGACATCATTTTGTTTTTCGTGACTGAAAATCTTAAAACATTTTTAAGAGACAATTAGTTATAATATGATATTATTTCATAAAACAGGGTACATAATGGTTCATAGTTTAAATATCTTAAACTATAATTTACTTATTATCACAATATCTCAACTACTGTTAAAATAAATTTCTATTAAGAAGCCTATTCTATAGGAATCTCTCTATAGGAATTTCTATTAAGGAATATACATAATCGTAAAATAATGATGATAATTTCTTAACGAAAATCATATTATAAAATGTATACTTAACCTAACCTTACGAAATTATTCGTAATCGACTTGAGATTGATTTTTATGTATTTGATATATATTAAAAGAAAACAACTAACTTAATCAGCCCTAACGATTATCAGCGTTGTAAGTATACAGGTAGTACAATTATCGGAGTTGTACAAACGTCCTCAAAGACTTACATTAACTATATTATGGCTGATTTGCTTATATATATATATATATATATATATTATATATATTGGCTTACTTTTAAGTTTAAACAGAAGAGTGGTAGTTTCTCAATAACGTTATTGAATTACAAACAAACAATCTGGATAAACTTTAAATAATTTATAAGTTTACTTAAAGTTATTTTTTTAAGTCACAGTATAAGATGTATGTCCATTAGTAAAGAAATAAGATAATTAAATGCTTGTAGACACTTTAAAATAGTGTGAAGTACAGTCTTGCCAATAACATTGTCCAGACGATTGTTTTTGAAAATTGGTTTCTTGATGTGAGGTTTTCTGGAAAAAAATATTACATAAAATTAAAAAATAATTATAACAGTTATTTCATAAATTGTGTACAAGTTTAAAATCATTACTATTAACTAGTCAAAATCGATAAAACCGTATTTTTTTTTATTATTATAAAAACTGTATTGAATTAATTTTAAAAAACTGGTTTGATTTGGACAATTGAATCAGACTAAAAAATCAATTCCAACTGTCGCATCAAATCTGTTAACCACAGCTGTAATAGTAAGTTTAAATTGTTTGATTAGTTTTGATATGTATATGTCTATTGGCTGGGGGTCAATACGAAAATCTGTACGTGTGGCGCGATCTAGCGGTTTTTTTTAAATAAATAAACTGATAAATTATCTGAAGAAATCATAGGTATATACTAATACTAGGTATGAGTCTTTGCCATAATCACCCTAAAATTAGTTAAAGCAGCCGCCATATGCAATGAAGGCACAATCGGTAAACAAACATGAAATTTAGTATATGACCTGTTATTTTTGTTACATATTTTAATTACCTACATTTAAACTGCGTGATGTTTGTATGGGTTATACTGAAGAATTGTTTACATTTGAGAACCTCGTGCATACGCCGTAAGACAATTATCATCCGGAGTAAAAATTGGATAAAAATGTTATACCTCATTCAATTAATTTACATAAAACATGTATACAAATATCAAGAGGCAATAGCAGTGGTAATGGTCATAAGTGGAGTTCTACCTTACACATTAAATCATTGTAACATTTTTAGTACGGAATTATTTTCTTAGTATAAATGTGACCTTAACATTGAAGTATTTTCCATGTACTTTAAGCTTAACATGTGTTGATTTTGTTTGTATAATATTATGTAAATAATACGTATCAAATTGAAAAACAATACGTCTATCCCCTCTAGCCAAATGCGAAATGAAAGCAGTAGAAAAAAAGTAGTTACAGCTACCTACGTACATTTTTTATAAAAATACAGAGTTTATTCAAGCTAAATGATTCGCGTTAAGTCAATCTTATTCCTAGTTTTATTAGCGATATGCAATCTGCGACTCTTAAGTTGTTGTGAAAATGAAGAAGACTCTATGAAAACTCTGCACGGTCTTCTCAACTTTCCAGGATGGGTGCACATAAACCAAGTAAAAGCTAAACATCAAGACAACACGTCATACAAAACTTGCTTGTTTTCTGGAGTAGACTTATCTATGGGAATTGAAGATCCTAATCGTTGTATCAGCGCCCACAATGTTGAAATCAAATGTCGTATGACCATACAATTGCTCGGTTGTGTATATACACATGCTATGCTAAAATTTATAAATTTAATGAAACATATATTGTATATGAGTGGATTTGAAGCGAAACGTGTGAATTATGATCGATGTTTATTCCAGTGTCGTCAGAAAAGGAGGCGCGAAAAGGGTAAAATTACAGATGAAGTATATCACGATGATTTTACACAATTTTGGAAAATTTTCAATTGTGCGTTGAGCCAATTTACAATTATTCAACCAATGATAGAATGTATGTTATGCGCATTGCGTTACATAAGACATTTGTTAAATCCTATAGAAGATGAACTTATTTCTGTGGCTATATATACAATCATAAAAAGTTTACGTAAGTTTAGAATAACAGCTAAGAATATTAGTCAAATGCAAGAGAATTATAACAATGAACACCTCAAACATGACTATAAATTGGTTGGTTTAAACAGCAAAGAGATGAACGTGTTTTTAACTAACGAAAGACGTTTTGTTCTCTTACCCTACACTGAGACATATTGTGTACTCCCTGAAACCTATGATGACATTGACCTTGAATTTAAACTATTTTTGGAAGAACAGTCATATGAAGATATTGAAGTTGAAATTAAAGATCTCGTTAAAAATGTAATCAACACAAACTTTTTAGATTTAGGTTTCAAGCACAAAGAAGAAGAAATGGAGACTACCATCAATATGGAAAACACAGTTGAAAGTTCTGTGATTGAAGAAACACATACGGTCGAATAATAAATAGTTAATCGTTGATTTTTTAGAATTAAAAACGGAAAAAACAATGTTTTCTATATTTGCAACGTTTAGATAAAAATTGATATGTTAAGATGTATAAAATTTGTCTGTTCAGTAGTTATAACGTTATCATAAAAAAAAATGTAAAACTAAAATACCTTATTATACCTATTACAAATGACAGTTAATTACCTATCTTTTTCATTCTTATATAATATTATTTTTATTTAATATTATTATGTGATTGATATTAAAATAATATAATTATCATATCACGTCGTACATAAAATATAAAAATTGTTTTTATTGAATATTTGTTAGAAAACCGACTAAAGTAAAATATTTAAGTAGCAAAATTCAAACTATCACAGTCTGAACCAAGTACAGAAGAAGTTTGCAAAGTTGAAGCCAAAGCAATTATTAAATTTGAATGTAGTTTTATTACAATCAATTGCTTCAGTGCCAATATTGTAATGGTAAAAATCCAGCTCGGTACACATATAAATCAGCATAGTCCGAACCAGCAAAGTAAGAAATTACCAAAGTGGAGTCAACAGATTTGCATCGAATTAAGTTTCTTGTATTTTAATTCGTTAGTTCTATTATAATAGCTGTCTTATAACTTTCACAGATGTGAAAGAATCTATTTTTATGATAGGTACCGACTGCTAATTGTCTTATTTTCTTCAAACGGTATTTATACTTCTATACTAGATGGTCTCTAAGAGTGGTCCAACTCCATTATATTAACTTCTTATATTGTTGGTTTATAAATAAGATTAGAGACTATTGGCTATTTATAGACCCTACTGTCACATGCTAAATAATTATATTAAAATTAGTTTAGATACATTATTCAGTTCTACTAGACCATCATAGTCATAGCGAGTTTTGAAGGCCAAGATTTATCCATTGTTAGAAACTACTAATTAACAATAGGAAGTACAAGCTGTAACTATTAGATACTTAGAATATTCATACTTTTTCAATCACTCTACATTTTTCTGAGAAACTTTTTGGCAGTATAATTTTATTGAGATTCTATTACATAGAAGAATAACACAAGCTTTAGAGGTTTAATCTGTAATAATATTGTCCTGTGGTTTTTGCCATGCCCACTTATGTATTTTTTGCAGTGTACACTATTAACATTTTGTTGGTTATTATTAATAACAAATACACAAATAAACAATTTAAAAATCGGTTTTATCTAACGCAAATACGAGCAGACGAATGAGTAAAAGACTCTTAACGCCATAAATGGACCGTAAGTACTGTTGAGCAGCGAAAAAGCTTTCGCATAAAAGCTTAAGTGACTACCCAGAGTGGTTTAAATTGTTTCAGTTAAAGTAGTCGTACTGTTTATGCAAATGGTGGCCACTAGGAGCGAAACTAAATAATAAAATAAGAAAGAATATTATCTGTGTCTATACACATGTATATAAGTGTGCGTTTGGCTTAATCACAAATAAAATAACAATAAATGACCAGAAAATATTGACTTCTCTCTTCTTTGCGTACCCAGTTTTTTTTAGTTCCGGAATCGTTTAAAGGCGTATGATTACTTGGTTAGCTCGGTAATAACAATTATTATACTCATTCATTCAAATAGGGTTTCCGGAGGGAAGGAAACGAATAGAAAAATAACGGATTCGCCGTGAAGGTAATTCAATTCAGTTAGCAGATAAAACGCTAATTTGATTTCGAAAAGAAGGGGATCACAAAATTTGTTATGTCATCATTTTTGAGTAGGGAAAAACTCAATTACGAATCTAACATCATAACCTAAAGCGAAGCCCTACCGACCAATTTAGCAATTCTCTTACTTTTAATAAGATTTCTCTTGACAAAATATTCAATCAAAATTCAATAAAATTCCTATTCCGAAAAGAGTTTTGATTATAAACGAAAAGAGCACAAAGTTTGACAATTTCATTGAATGCAAATTAAAAAAACATTTCATTACACATAACAAATTTTCTAGCAGCTGTTGTTGATCATGAAAATAATGGAAAGGGAAAAAAATATTATTGCAATAGAGCGTTCAATTTTAAATTTTCGTTCGCGTTGTTTTTATTTATTCAGTTCTGTAGTTTACTCGCATGCACACAGCTAAAGTAGTATTTACTCAATAAGTGTGACGCATGATATTCAAAACCCCTTTATTTGTATAAACATAAAAATCCGTCCTTGTACTATTGAAAGCAGTTGTACCCATTGTCAGTACGACAAACTGCTTCGGGAAATTGTTTCAGACAAGTGCCCGAAACACTTTAAAACACGGACATCGATGAAAACTAATCAAAATTCGAATTGCTTCATTGAATTGGTTAGTACTTGCCAAAGTCAACACGGTATCGCGGTGTAATGAAAAATTTAAAACAGACCGTCGAGGATTTTCGAGTACCTATCGGTTGTTTTTGAAAAAGTATACTTAATCATTGTTGTTGAACTCATGACAACAGAATACGATGCGGTGGTTTGAACAATAGGTTGATTTGTTTAATATAATTTGATAAACGCAGTATTGTATGTGTTTAAACTTTAAAGTGGACAAAAAAAACAAATTTCTGTCGACCGACGAATAGGATTAAATATATTCACGGGGCGGCTTTGATAATTGAGTTTTCAAACAATTACAATATCTTCCAAGTCTGCTGAATCGAACCCGGTAACCGGCAGAGTCGGATGAATTTGTGTAATCGCTCATTGAAAAGCCAAACGGCAGTAAATCATCATCGCGAACCCAATGTAATTTACGGTTACTATTGTTTGATGCGATCACACCGAAGTGCCATTAATTAAACGCCGAGGATTACAAAGTTTTTCTCCGCATTCGCGGTTCCCTGTCTGAAGATAAAAAGGGAAATGTAATTATCTTTACAAAGTCATAGCAAACGAACGGATTGATGAAAATTTAAAATTCAAACGCTAAAAATGTTGAAAAACTAATTATCAGCTTCTATTATACATCCTATTATTTAACTTGGCTATCGTTTTACTTATGTTTCACCAAAAGGCTACAAAAGTAACGTTGACGAAACGCGAGGCACATTATTGTACTAAGATTAATTTAAATGATTTGATTTATTTGTAGATACTTACCCACTTGAAGACTCTCAGAATTTCCTGAAAAAAAACAAACAAAGAAGTCATTAAAATTTTCAAAAGTCATTGTCATTAATCATTATTACTATGTAGTTAATTTTGTATATTGATATATTGATTGCTTATTATAATAGATAGGAGAGAAAAAAAAGTAGATATATTTTTTATGAATAAAAATAAAGTTTTTTTTGAAAATGTTATTTTAATACTGCCAGAAAGGTTAGGTATAGTGCATGTATTGATTAGTTATAGTGATTAGACTCTTCACCCTACAATCAATCAAATAAATACTTGATTCCTATATGTCAACTATTTTAATTTGATCTATTGATAAGGATTGGAGGTAATTTCAGAAATTATAATTTTAAATGTTTCATGCTCTTGTTTGCCACATTTTTAAAACGTTTAAAGAAGATTCAAACTGACTAAAATATTATACAGGTATAAAAATCTCGTAGAGTTAAAAAAAATAGCAAATTTGGTATTGCCATTGGTATTGTAAAAAAAAACTCTTAATGTTTAGATTTCAAAGGTTGAGAGATTTGAAAATAATGACTCTGGCAAAACTTTATAGTGGTCCGAATCTCATTAGGTCGTGAAGCGATGCACAGAAATTAAACGTACTGCTTGAACTGTTTGCTAACCATTTACTGTGCCATTTTCCCGACGGACCTTTAACTTGTTCCAGACATATATTATTGTGTAGCTTATCTCTACAGTTTATGTAAAAAGCTACATGAAACCGATGACGTCCGACGAAACTGAACTTGATGTAACCTAATAAAACTCTAGTTCTTCGCTTGTGACATTGTTTTTTTATAATCAAATTTCAAAACATAATATAAAGCACAAGAGGAAAAAGTAGAGATCACGATAAATGGAAAAAGATCATCGTTGAAATTATAAAAGACAGTAAAAATAAGAATAACAATTTAGGACTTAGCGGGTGCTAGATCCCAAATATTTGAGACTGTTGCAAAAACAATAAATTTATAAGGTAGTATACAAAATACGTATCACACAAACATTTAACATTTATATTAAAACGTTTTTTTTTCAAATGTAATAGACCGTCCTTTAAATGCATCGCCCAAATAAAAGAGTCTATAGAAAATAATAATAATATATTTTTTTAAGTTGTTTAAATAAACTGAAATTAACGATCAAACCTATAGAAAAGCATAAACTCTCCTGTTGTTATTCTTGTAATAAATCAAAATTCAATCAACCTTCGTATGATGTTTTCCAAATAAAAGTAGTGTTACGTTTCAGTACAGTCAATTAGGTAGTACTGATGAAGCTGACAACTCACCGTGCCAACGCAAATAGTATTAATTTGTAATTTAGATAGCAACTTTGAAGAAAGGAAATTAAATAGATACAATGGTTATCTGCGCAGGAAAGAACATTATTACTTATTATGTTACAAGCTCTTTTTATTTGATCTGTCTTTACTGGTCTTTGGTTTCAATTATTAACGTTTCAGCCGTTTGAAATGAAATTATGCAAAACGTTCATTATTATAATATAGCAAAATTTTAAGCCGTCAAAGGAGATGAAAAATAATAATGGTGTTATTCCTCAAAACTTTCCATCGAAGAATTATTTTAGGAAATGCTTATTATTATGCAATTGATATTAAATTATTTTCGAATTTATGGAAATAGTGTCCATACTTATAATTGGACTTTAGTAAGAACTCTTTCACAGACATTCCAAGAAACTTTTTAAAATACTTTTCACTCGCAGATGTTTATACTTTAGATAAAAAACGTCTTCGGCCGGCGTTTTACAAATATTCAACACAAAAGGATTTTTTTTTTGCAATAAGCAAATTTTGGTTAATACATTTTCAAACAAATAGTTCCCAAGAAAACTCTGCCGTAGTTAAAATAAGAAAGTTCATCTAGAATGTTTAAAAATGTATGTAATTAAAAAGTTTAAATTTACCAAGAAATGGAGTTCTGACTATAAAATGTCCACTCTATGTGTAGAAAACATATTTTTATCGAGATGGCAGTATTGCGTTTGGGTATTGGATCAGTTTGCATTTGATTTAACATTAGTCCTGACACCCTTTATTCGACTTTTTTATGTAATTTTTTAAAACTTTTTTAACATTCAGTCTCCAGAATTGGATTATGACAATTGACAGCGATTTAAAATACTAAATTGCTTACATTTATCATCAGAAAAGTGTTATCCAATAATATATTATTTGCCATTGATTTTACAGTAATACAATTTATTGGAAACATATAAAAACCTATTTACATTTAACATATTTTTTTTTTTTTGGTGGGTTGGTGTCATTAACGCCAGTTTGAGATTGAAAACTATTACATTTTGCATTCTCTAATGGTCTACAAAAATAATAATATGTACCTATAATGTGTATGACAAACACTCAGGGCTAAGACTTGAGTATAATGTACGGAACTGACTAATGTATAGTGTACTTTTTGGTATTTTCCGATTACAGATATAAACTAAACATAGATATGAACTTTCTTGTAACTCTGCGATAATTTTAGTAGATAATAACACCGAAATTAAACTTAAAACGGAACAACATAAATAACAACTTAATCGCATGGTACACTTAATACAATCTAAGACGTGGGTTTTTTAAAACGATAGCATTCTGAAATTTTTTTGTTATTCTAAAACATACATTTTTTAAGACTCGGTTTTCTGAAAACCGACGATCTAAAACATGCATCCAAGTCTTGCGCATTGTATCTGTATGAATTCTTAACGGGGTTGTACTTACCGGGGTTGTAAAAGAATTTCTTGGCGTTCCTGTATGGCGTGTAAGGTATTTCGAGCTCGCAGTAAAACATGGTCTTGGACGGCAATTGTGTCTCGGGAATCATAGTGTACACCGTGATGTAGTAGGCACCTTTGATTTGGTAGTCGACTTGATCGATCATCAGGGAGTCGTTTCTGCGAAAACAACAAACAAGCGACTGCGTACAGTGATATTATTTTTATCTCAGTACAGAGTGTAACATTAGAAATTCCTCCAGCCACCACCCAGTAAAATACAGTATTAGTACTGCAGTAAAATACAACATTCGTTTTTTTAAGTAAGACAATTTTTTTAAAAATTCAACGTGGAATGAATATTGCAAAAGTATTTCTAATTAATACTAATAAGTAAATGTGCTTTAAGTGTTAGTGGTTCTTACATTAGCCCTCTTAATTTTTTTATTATAATTCACTTTTTTTAAAAATTGAATAAAAACTAGGCACTGAAAAACTGTTTTACCGTAAAAACCATCTATTTATCCGTGTTTTACATTTTACCACTAGATGTCGGATCCTATACGGCTTTAAACAATTTGACCACCGTGTACATTGATAAATTAATGGAAAATAATTACTTTTATATTTTTTTTTTTTATAAAATAACCAGTGTAACCACTTGCATGTGATTTTCCCCTCATTTTCGAAAAGATAATATTCGAAAACAAAAATGATAAAGACATTAAAATAGTCCAGATGTAATTCTTGTTCTTGTATGTATATGTATGTATATAAGTATTTCGTCTACTATAAACTACCAGGTTTGTTTCTATCTGTGTATTAGCAAAAAATATGTTTTATTTGCTAGGTAGTTGTAAATAATTCTTAAGTTTTTTACAATTTTAGAACGAATGAGGCGGAAACACTTAAATTTTTTGTGATTCACCTCAAATCTCTCCGGTGCCTCCTATTTTTACTAAAAGAAAAACTATTTGTGATTTCCTATCTCAAAACTCTCCAGTTACTCACACTATTCTTAAAAAAAAAAAAATAATACAAAAACCTATTTCTTATCAAAAGCTTCTAAAGGACCAAGAACATTTAAGAAATACAAATTTGACCTTTCGGTCCTAATTTTCCTATTGATTTAGAATTTCTTTTAGCAATATTTCAAAAATTGTTTGACAATAAGTTATTTGGACTTATAAAAATTCTGACTGAGTTGTATGCTTTACAAAATAATAAAAATACAACAGTACCAACAGAAGAAGTAAAAACATTTTTTGGCATACTCATTATAATGGGGTTTCACAAATTACCAACACTTGGTTTTACTGGTCAAACGATTCTAACTTTTATGTAGATAGAATATCCAATATTATGTCACTAAAAAGATTTTACACATTTTAGGATTTCTACACGTAAATTACAACATGAAAATGTCTACAAGAAGAAAACAAAATTATCATAAATTGTACAAAGTTAGGAGATTATACATCTAGAATACAGCCTGGTATAATGCCAAAACTTATAAACAGAAAATTTACCAAAGAAAACGGAAAAGTTATAGAAAACTGATTTTTACAAAATTCAGAACATAGGAGACCACCAACTAACAAAAAGAACGTGCCGCAGATGTACATATTGTCGTGTAAAAATCTAAACCCAATAGGTCTAGTATAATTTGTAAAAAAATGTGAAGCAGCTTTATGTTTAAAAAATGACCCCCCTAAGACCCCCTTCAGAGGTAGGGGTGCTTTCAAATCATTAATTTATCTTTTTACAAAACACCTTAATTGAAAAAAGTTTACATAATATGTTTTAGACCATCTAATTATTATGTCATTTAAAGGGTTAAACTGTAATACCCGTTTTCACTTGCACCAATTGTTAAGTTTTGACATTCTATTTTAAAATATCCTTAAAATGACAGCATAACCGTGACAATGTGTGTCGTTGTGTCATTGCACTTACACATGTCCACAAAATTGTCCAGTTAACTTTAAAATATACCTACTTCAAGGAATCATTTTTTTATTATTAAATTAAATAATTGCATATAATTAATCAAACACAGCGTTAATAATTGTATAATAAATTCTTAATACGAATGGGTCATTTTAAATAATCATTATTATACATTATACACAAACAATATCTGTTATATTATTATATGCCATGTTATCGCAAAAGTGTAAAAATGGTTGGAATGAAAATCCAAAAAATTATCAAATTAATTAATTGCATTATAAAAATTGATATGATATAAACGAAATACATCATAAATACTGTTTTTATAATATTGCTATTTATAGTTTCATATATTTATAAACACCATTTCAAGTAGAACGCTTTAACTACAAGCTTTTAGCAACTTTTAAGCGTCTTAATAAAAACTTTATTTTTAATTAAATACGACGGTACGCCAATTTAAAATCATTTTACAACTAAGTTAAAAAGTTTTTAGAAAGGGAGCTCTTCACTATTCACTAATTTTACTGCTCTCAAATTTACAAATTAAAATAAGCTAAACAAAATTAACTCGTTTAGGGTTTTGAAAAGTTAATTACTTTACCTTCGTTAAATAACCGACAGCACTTCGCTTACCATTGAAGGCTAATTTCACTTTTGTTACAAATAATTATAACAGTGTTTATTTGTAATGAATGTCACAAAACAATAATTCATTCCAATTATTGAAAATTGAACATAACATCTAATTTCAAAACAGTTAAATCTAAGAAACGTGTTGACACCCCTTCTACTATAAGTCTTACACTAATAAAGGAAATGTGACTAAGAAAACCAATGTTGAGGAATTTAGATTACATTTTCAATGAAATTAAGATAGATGACAAGTTTGTGTTTCCACAGGAATATCATTATTACTTGTAGTTGATAAACTTATAGGTTGCAGACAACATTTTTTGTGCAAATTAATTAGTTAACTTATAATTAAATAAATATTTTAAATAATTTATAAAAATACATTTTCATGTTTCTGTATTCTTTATAGAATATTCAAGCGTGTCTTAAAAAGTTTGGACCGGGTGATTTTCCATTAAAATAAAATTACTTTAGCCAATTTGTGTTTGTTTTATATACGTAATCGATTTGATAATACACAGGTGTGATAAGCACCTACTTACTTTTGGGAAATGAGACATGTGTTATTTATAACAATAGATAACTGATGTTGTCCTTAGCTTTAACACTTAAACATTTGTACGCAAACCCTTCTCGTTAAAATTATAATATTCCTTATTTCTCTAACGCTTTTAAATTCTGATAGTAGTTATCAACTCTGTATAAAACTGTATAATTCAAAAACATAGAAACGATTTAATATGAAAATTTAAGTGTTTCGGTTTCTATTCTAAAATCGTTTTGAGTAGACAGGTAGATATGGCAGTGCTGTCATGTACGTTACACGGTATTTGTGTCTGGGTGTATGCGAGGGTATATACTTGGGTGTATACTTGCATAGTAAAAGCTCTAATACATTAGTTTCAAATAGGGTTTGCTCTCCTTCCATATCCGTCGAAGTAATCCTCTATCACGGTACGACTCGGTGGATTCGATCACTGATTGTTTCACAAGGCGACGTTGTCGTCAAGTGTTTGCAGTCAATCGTATGACCGTCCGTCTTGCACTTTAGATTTATCGCTTCACGGCTCTTGGAAAAGTCCTGACTTTTCCACTTTTCGGCGACAATTTTTCCAGCCGGAAAACGTCAAGCCGGCAAAGGGCAGGGCAGGATCGTTTCGCATGTGTTCTGAATCGATTGCCACCAGCAAATTTATCGTTTTTAAGCACATCTCACCCAGTAAGCCTCTGAAAAACTCGAACCAATAATTCACCGGATCGTCAAAGCGAACAAAAGCTGTGCCATTGAGCATACCTCGTTCTGAAATAATTACACTTTGTCACGGCCTGCTGTAACTTTTTGAGAAAAAGTCAAAGTGCTTCCCAGCTGTTTGCGATCAAAAACATTACTCGACCGATTCTTTATAACTTGTTATTTGAGCTTAATTTACTATGGCTTTTAAAACATTTTCCTGTTTCAAGTTTTTGATTTTTTTATGTACATTTTTTTGATAAATTAACGACATTTGCTCGCAATCAATACAACAAAATACCAGTCACCTCCGGGCAAAACTACATAATCGCACTTAAAATTCCTTGAAGTGACCGCTATTATATTCACATGTAATATATCTACTATAAACCATTGTAGATTCAACATTACCATCGGAGTATTGGTATTGGGTTAAAAACATTACTATTGTAAAAATAATCGGTTAGGTTACTTCTGTATTTTGTCAAGAATACGAATTAGTTTGATGTTGTATTAGATAAAAACATTGTATCTGCAAAAATGCATTAATAGTTGTCAACTAATGTTTAACTAAATGTCTAGTTTAACTTATTGTCAACTAATATTATTAGCATGCTTCTAAATTAAATTTTACGATTGTTAATATTATAATTATTACCTTAACTATGCATGGTGAATGAATCTGACAATATTTAAACCCCTGTTTTTACCCCCCTCCTAACTTAGATTTTTTGATAGTTACTTTTGAAACTTAAATGGTAACGTATATATTTTATTACCTTTTTAAATAGAGAATAATGTATTACAAATTTTGACTGGTAAATAACCAGTTTCGGATAACTATTTTTGAAGTTATAAGAGTTTTAAAGTTAGGATGGGAGGGGAAGTGCGGTTGGGAAATGCGCGCATATAAAAATAAAACTACACTCCACTTCCCCTCTCATCCTAACTTTTAAACTCTTATAACTTCAAAAATAGTTATCCGAGTTTGGTTACCGACCAGTCGAAATTTGTAATACATTATTCTCAATTTAAAAAGGTAATAAAATTTACACGTCACTGTTTAAGTTTCAAAAGTTGCTATCAAAAAATCTAAGTTGGGAGGGGGGTAAAAATAAAAAAAATTGTGAAAAATTGAGATCCCATTAAATAAAAACAATATAAAAAAAAAATTCAATTATTAATTAAACCCAGTGAGATATTGACTGGTTCATAATAAAAGAATCACCCTGTACATGATTAGATTAAGTAAGATTTTTAAATAATGTCGTTTTGTTTCTAGGTTAAGTATTATGTATAAACTCATCATTTGACTAAATTACAAGTGATTTGAACAGTGACAAACAAAGCACTGTCTACAATCGATGACTCTTTACAGTTGGGTAATTACTTTAACAGGCTAAATCAAAGGCTTTAAGCAGCTGTTATCGACCAGTGGGTAAATTTTGAGTATAACAAATTATTGTAAGTTTGAGAGTCGCTTACCTGGGTTTTCCGTCTTCACCCTCGATGACTCTGAACAGGCGCAAAACGGGCATCGGGAACACTGCGTCTGCGGAACAGGAAATGTTAACTTTGGACGGTCTGTTAGAAATGGATCGATACAACTGCATATTCTTGTCGGCGGCTGTACAAAAAAAAAAAAAAAATCGTCAATTGTATTATAATAAAATATTTACATATTTTGATATTTCCTTCTTTATTTGTAATCCACCCTCCCCATTCCTTCTGTGGAGACGTCAGTGATACATCATCGGGTTTTTCCTATACAACGTGACGTCGACGGCCGTGTATATATTACATACGACACCGGTCAATCAACATGTTTTTCGACGACAGTGGCACGAGGGAGTGGTGTACATAATATTATATAGCAATACCGTGTACAATGTTTTTTACATATTATTTTTGCCATATCGCCTAGCACGTGTGTGTCGACGGTTATCCGTCTATGTCCGAAACGGCTGGGTAGAGAAGAAATGGCAGGGGGTGGGTGAAGAAGGGAAAGAATATTGTCACCCTTTATACACAGACACCCGTGCTGGCGACTAAATGTATCAAGCAAATGCTGATCGTTGAGCCGTCAAAAAGACAATCAATCAATCTAATACCGCCCGGTTCGTGATGTTTACGCCTGTAATCGAAAACAGCTTTGTGACACCAAGTGAATGATACGTGACCACCCCCCCCCCCTCCATTTTACCCGCCCTTAATCGAGGAAAACCTCGTGGAGCCACGTGTAGGAATTGCCGCCGACGATCCATTGTACGGGATTTAATTGGGTTTGGATTCCTGCAATGCCACAACGTTTACCTATTATGCAATCAATTATTCCGGCTAAGATTCGTCTAAAACTGACTTTCCAAGTGTCGTATCACCCCTGCATTACCCATGGTAAACGTCAAGAACCTTTTCGTGGATTGTTGTCAACGGATAGGCTGACAATATCTTCCGTCGTCAGCCACCTTCGAGAAACTACTTAAGCGAATAGAACTATTTGACTTAACACTTAATTTCAGAGAAACCGCCAATCTGCAGTCACTCCAACATTTAGCATAACATTCAAGATAGACCTAAACAGCACCGAGAAATTTCTGAGGTAATCAGAATCCCACATTTGAATTTAATTACTAAAATATGCACAAGAGACAACAGTGTGGCAGTACTATTGGCTTCTCGTAGTATTCCATTATTAACCCGTTATCAAATCGAATCACATGTTGGTCATAGTTGTTCATAGCTTACCGTATACAATCATTCTCTTGAACATGAAATCTTCGTCTTTGTACGTGGACACGACGCACTTGAAGTTGCCAGTGAGTTCGATGGTAGGCTGGATGATATACAAGGCTCGGTGTTTGGTCAACGGGTTGTTAGTGACCGCGTAGTCGAGCTGTATACGTTTGCGGAGTGGACCCAAGCTCCGTGGTGCCTGATCGGGTATCCACTGGTAAGAAGGAGTAGGGCTATCGTTGAAGTACCAAGTGATCACTAAGCCGGCCGTTTCGTTTTCTTTGATGTTGTACATGCAATCCAAAACAACACCCTTCGTACCGTTTGGCACAGTGCTCGGTACTCGCAACTCAGTTATTGCCACGCTCTCAGCGGCCACTGCACATACATAAAAAACACATGACAGTTAAATAATTTTCTATATTAAACTGTTGGGAAAACAACAATAGTTTTCTCCTAGTTCTGCTTTCGTCCGATTTTGAACATACAAATAATCAGTGGAAATTGTCTGCAAGTGTTTTGGCCTGGCTACGTTTCTCTGTTCACATTAAACAGTTCTACGTGATTTATTATTGTGATATTTCTTAGAAATATTTCTCTTTTATTGAATAATTATTCATTACCCTACAAAAAAAAAGGGTATTTGCCGGTTCATGTCACAACCGGTAAACGACTCATAAAAATATATTAAGATATTGTGTTAGATGCAATATTTGATCAGAGCATTGCAATACGGATATATTATTATGAGTAGTCTAAGTATCACATGTACATTATAAAAATTGACTTTTTATTTTAAACTATCGCGAATATATATAGTTTTTAATTCAAATACATCTTTACAAGCCAATAATCCTAGTTTTCTATAAATGTGAATTTTTCACAGTTGAAAACTATAATAATTTTTTAATATATTATTCGAGCGTTATTAATCATTCTAGTTTAAACTTATGATATTTTCGAAGAATGCTAAAGTGTGCAATTGAAATATTTGTATTTAGTTAAACTTATTTTATTCGTCAAAATTGTATCATGCTTTCCAAACGTTGATATACAAGATTGCATACAAGTTCATCAGGTCGATGGTCGAAGTTGTAATATAACATAGTAGTTTTTTGTACATAATTAATTAATGATATTAATTTATTGATCATACTTTTGTGCAACCCGACAGTAATCTACGTAATTTGTATCCTGTACTTAAGTCACTATTGTTAGATGGCATTTTTATAGTTTTCGCAACGTCCAATCTCCCATTTGTAAACTATTCATTCCTAACTGTGTCTATAATTTAATAACTCTAAATCATTTGCACGTGAAATGTTACTTTTCCTTTATTTTTTGAACTAATATCATAAACTCAGTTTTAGTTATCATTGCCAGCCTAGACAAATTTTAACAAATAATAAACAAAATATCAAATTAGTAAATGATTACATTGTTAGCTTCTAATATGTGTGTCTCACATATAGTGCCATATTAAGATTGAGCAATGTAAATGAAAAAATTATAATTACATAGCCTACACTAACTAATTAAAAACTAATAATATTCTAAAAAGGATAATTACAGCTTTACCAAGTTAAATATTTTGACCGTCAGCAGTTTATTTATTGTTATTGTCAGCAGTTTTGTGTAAACATCAGCGGACTTTAGTGCAAACTAAATAATGTTATTTTTTACAATTAACCAATTTTGAAAAATATCGTAACATAGAGTCTCTTGTTATACTTTGATGTTCTTTGAACGAGAACCACGTTAAAATATTATTATAATAGCAAAATATCCTAACAAATTACACTGTCCGACTGTTGTTGTTGTTGTTTGTAGGCAAACCACGTGAAACGCTCATTTATTTTAGTAACGGGTGAATAGTGTTGGCGGTTACATATAAGTTGATGGCTTAAGGACTCAAAACGTCAAGCGGAAGGCGTAAAGAATTCTCCAATAATAAATTTACCCGGAGACGGGATAGACAGCGACAGGAAAATAAAGCTCAATGTGCGTTTGCAACCGTCGCCGTCAAATACTCTTAGATCTATTACACGCTCTTGAGTTTTTCTACGGGTTTTTAACACTACACAATATTATATTTGAAATTTTTCATGTAGCAAAATTGACAGCGGCATATTATGTGTAAAACTATCTTAAGGAGATGGCAAGTTTAGAGACGTAAAACCGATAAACGATCAAAATCCAGCTATTTATTTAACACGCTCAATTTTGGTAAGATCGAGGAGGTTAACTTTTATAACATTTCGCCGTAGACCAATTAAAAAATATTATTAAGCTGAATTAAAAACGGACGACTTTAGCTCCTCGGTGGGTTTTTCTTCCGGCATGGACCAACGCGCATCGATAATGGATTGCCGTCACCAGGGACAAAACGGTACGAGTTAGGGATGGTAAACTTCACAGCGATTGATGTTGACCTCTCTAGATACCCCAAAGTCGTTTAATTAAGCACGTGCTGGCCAACTGTGTTATCCCCACGGTCCAATACACGCGAGGTCCGATGTTGGCTTCGCCAGACCGAATTACGTTGGACGCGGCAAAGGCGGTACACGTGCCTAAGTATAATATTTTTTGAAAATCCGTTAAACGACACGTATAACTAACACACACAACGACGAACAAGTTTTTAAAGAATTTCTATACGTTTTCTCGGAGAGACGATCGATGGATATTGTTTTGTAATGAATTTAGGCTTCGACCAGGCACGTAGCACAGTTGTTAAGTTACCAGCCCTGAAGTTTTATGAAAAATAATTACCGGGAATCTTTAAACTGATTCACATTATTTTTTTTTTTCTAGTCTCGAAATGTGTTAACTTTACTTTGAAGGGTAGTTGATTTGCACTATGGTTTTCATTTGTTTAACTGCTCATACAGGGTCCGTCAGAACAAACGCATGTTTTTTAAAATGATGCTACGCCAAAAGTAATTGCAGTAAAAAATAATTTATTATATCAAAAAATGCAGATACATATTATGCAGTTTTTTTATACGTAACAAAATTTAGGTTCTGAAAATGCGTTTTTTTACACTCAGTTTATATCACTCACACAACTAGTTTAATATAAAATTAATTATTAGCTATTTAGTAATTTCAACATATTATTGACGGAACAATGACTAAAAATACCCTCGATCTCACACATATTAATACCGCACAGCCATATTAGATATTTTTTTACCCTCTTACACTTGTACACTGGTATGTATTTCCAAAAATGTATCTCACTACGTTCATTTGTTGTGTTTATCGCTCACCCCACAAGAATTCATGTCATTCTACACGTTGGCCAAGACATCTCATTTCCGTTTTGTCGGTTTTCCAATAGTTGTGGTTTCAACATATTCTTAAAATATGTATTGTGAGAACCATATAAGGAAAAAAACAATTATTTATCTTTCCCGCCAAACCTCAAGTCACTAGTAAACTAATAAATTTTTCCATTATATTGAATTGGACAGATAAGTCGTATTAAACATTATACAATGAACCTTCTCTAAGCTTTAGTATAACAGATGCCTAAAGTAAACCAGCAATATAAGAGTTATTATTATGCAAGCAATAGGATTTCTAAAAATATTCACTTTCAAGAATTATTTCAAATGTATCTGTAAGATATAATGGTTGAATGGAAATCATTTTGAAATTTTGGTAGTTGAAAAAAACTGCAAGCGCAACTTTAAAATGAAATATTCGTTGTACAATTGCAGGTATTTTTTGAAAAAAAAATTCTTTTCGGATTGCATATAGTATTCAGAGTAATATAACATTCATAGTAAACGCATGAAAAATCTAAAATAACTACTTTGGTTTTATTTACAATTCTATAAATATTACATTTGGGTTACAAGAGATGTATATTAAATTTTAATATAATTTTAAAAGTCCTATAGCTATACAAAGTATCGCATACTTTATGATTCTGGTATTCTTGAATTTTTTATTCGAAAACACTCAAAGAAATTATCCAAAAAGGTTAGCTATATTCTTAAAAATGAAAAACACTTAAGTGAGCAATATTTACCCTCGTGTTTTTCCTATTTATTATTTGACTCGTGCAAAAAAAAATAACTATTGATACCGAACTTGTGCACTTACTTCGGTGAGCAATGATTCGGTAGATTTTATTTTTGGATGAACGTTTTTAGTTATTTCAATTTACCCTTATTCAATTTACAGCGAATAGCTTTTAATATCAATATTTACTTAAACGGGAATGGAACTTGAATAATTTAACTAAATGTCTGAGCGTGTAGATAAACAGCATTTATACAATATTGTTCCTCGAAACGCTCAGGTCTAAAACGTGTGGAGCTACTTGTGTGCCGCCATAGCTGTTCTTAACCTTAACCTCGGATCCTCGTTTCATGCATTTTTAAATTTCATCGACGTCAACCTATTCGTGGTTCCAAATTCGGGTCATCATTAATAAATCAAAAGCAAAACGGACTTTAAGTATTGGAGTACTTCAAAGAGTTCGGTTTGGTTAAGCCACAAATTCTGATCGCTGTTTATTTCTTCGTGTAGAAATGACAGATTAAATATGAAAACATGTATATCGAATCCAATGATTTTGCTATTATAATTTCAACTGAGCAAACTAAACTAGCATACGATTTTTCGGCTTTTAAACTGTTATAATGTCACAATCATAAATTCTTACAAAGTATTCGTGAACAACATACGAATGTAATAAGTCATGCACACACTCACACTTGTTTCGTATAAACGCAAATTAACATTGAATCATTTTTGAATTACATTTACGACCTAGGCAACAGAATGGCTAAATAATATATACCCCTCGTCGACCCTCGTCCCTTGAGGTTTCGCTTGACGTTACCAACCCTTCGCAGGAGCACAAACAAACAAAAAATAATAATAACAAAAAGAACTTAACTACTTGTTTTGCAATGTGAATAATCGCGAGTCCTTAATCTTACTCGGAAAAATAAATATTCGAACATTTTTAAGAGCTGTTTAACGATTAAGTTTTGAGAGAATAAATTATTTGCATACTGTCGTATACGGTATTAACTCGATACGCTCAATTCACACTAAGTAATACTTGTGTTTTTCTTTTACACAGCATTATCCTACGCTATAGCCAATAGGTTTGTGCACAATGTTAATATGTAAATACGTTTGGGTTAAACTACATAACAGAATACCTCCAATGTAAATGCATTTTAATTATATCAGTTTAAATGTTTTTTTAACTAAAACAAAACTACGTATTAAAACCGCTAATTTTTTGAGGCTTCCGTAATGGCAACACTTATTAAAGATAATATTTGTGCACTTCACAACACAAAATCGTTTCAATGTATTATCCAACGACATAGGAGACATTCTTTCAATGCAAATTTCATTCGATATTTAAATTATATATATATATATATATATGTGTGTGTGTGTATATGTGAAAGCCTTTTAATATTAAAGTTACTGCATTATATAATGGACGTGAATAATGCAAAAGTACATAATATTTACTATAATATTTTTAAATACTTTAAAAATGGTCAACAGCATTATATAAAAGTCACATTGTAATTGACTATCAACTTTGTTTTTTTCAAATACAAACACACATTTTTAAGTCAATAACTGGGTAGTAAAAACTTAAATTTTGAAATTATCGCTTGAATTTTTTATTTTAAATAATCGGTTTGTCACTTATGACTTTGTAAAGATTAGATTTAAGATTAAATAATATTTGTTAAGTGAGTTCCCATTAAATAATAATATTCACCCCCGTCGATACCACTGTCACCTCTAATCAGACATAAATAAAACTCATTATGATTTTTTTTTAATAAATGGATAAGCGAATCTTTACCAACTTGCTTTGTGATAACAAGACAATCGGTTCTTATATGCCTATTCAAATACAGTGGCAGCTATTAGTATTAGTAATAACGAAAGAATATTGACAAGTTTAAAGAAAAATGAAAAATCTTTACCGAGTCATAGCAAACAAACACATTAATGAAAACTAAAAAGTCAAACGCTAAAAATGTTTAAAAATTGTTGTCTACATATTATTTATGGAATCAAAAAAATATGTCCCCATGTGTTTAATATTGGTCGAATGTTATACTTACAGTTGGCGGTGAATAACGCGTACGAGTAGAACAGACAATAAAACGTGCGAGGGCATTCGGAATCACGAACCATTTTTACTTTTTGTTATGTGTACTTAGATAAATACTAAAAAAAAAAAAAAGACAGCCCAACTATAGTGGACAAGTCGACTTAGTGGTCGCCATCGGATGTGTGGTGTACAGCATGCAGTCAGTTGAAGAATGATCCGCCGCGCCGGTATTGGTGTTGCCGCCACCGCTTACTTGGGGTAACGCCACCGTCGGTTAGGCCGGGGGGTGAAAAGCATTGGAAATGCTCTTTCATCCCCTTAAACGATCCAGCGCCACGATTGGATGCACAGCCGTACTTTTCTTGTCGTTGACTAAGAAAACATTTATCATTAATAAACATCCGTCGCACGTCAAGTCGAATCAAATCGAATGACTAGAAAACATAAAAAAAAAATTCAGGGGACTGTGAACAAATTTACAAGATAAAAATTATCTACTAACCGGTAACGGTCTTCATTTGTTACTGACAGCACATTTAAGTCTGCCCTTAATGTCTTAAATGTTACTACCTCAGACAAATTGAATGAATCTGTGTTAAATTAAATCAGATTATCTTATAAGTTTTGTACATTGCAACTATTAACTGTGACCCAGCACACTAGATTAATTTCAAGTTTTTATTAAGTAAAAATAAAAATCTCTACAGTTTTCTGGTAAATAGTGTTCTAGATTTCCCAATAATTTATATTACAAGTGTGAATACACTTTTATATTGTTATTATCTTTTGATTTAAAAATGCCAATCTAGCGAGGCTGATATAAGGGAAGCTATGGGGCTGAAGTCCCTTCCTTATTAACATAAATTGTATGCATTAAAAATTAAGTTTTATGTTTATTTTTCTATAATACAATATAGGTATTATATTTTTCAATCTTGGTTCCACCCCTGTCAAACTACATTCTTGAACATTTTATTAAAAGATAATCAGTTTAGGTTAACTTTTTAGCAAGTTAAAAATCAATTTATATTAAGTGTGATGGAAAATTATGAAAAACGTAGTATGGTACAACCATTGTTAATGCTCTTGGCATATTTTGATCTACTATAAGCTGTTGTTTGTAAGTATATACATTGTATGCCCCAAAACTTGATTGATTAAAACTGAATCACGTTCTACCTATATATACATGTATGTATGTAAGTATGCATATACCATTCCATGAATTCGCACAATATAGTACCATATTGTCATGTGCAGCGAGAATTCTATGGCAAAAGGGTTGAACGCAGACAGCGCACGAGAGAAGGTTGTCACTTTGCCATAATAACGGTCATACATATATCTGGTCGCCCCATTATTCAGATGTTCGAATATTTTAATTCACGCTCAAAACGTCTAGATTGTGATAATTGATTAAATAATGACCGAGTCCGTCGAGAGAAACAATAATTTATTTATACGAAAACAGAAAACAGTCGAACATTTAGGTCGCTGTATGGTAGAGACACATTACAACAGCAGAGGGGTAAAAAAATCAACCCACATCCGATGGTCTTAATTTGTTTATGATAAATATACACATATATTATATATACAAAAAATAACAGAATACAAGTTTTCCCAATATTGCAGTGGGTATTGGTGTTTTAATACGAGTTTTTGATGACGCCTTCGTCGCACAGCAGTACACATTAAATATTATAATATCGTTTAAACAGTAATTATTTTTTTACAACTGCAGTGGTTTTTAAAATTACTATTTGTTCAGCCCCACGATGATTTTTTAACCATTATACCAATATTCTGCTAATTTATATGTCATAAATTGTACATAAGTACAAATAGTACATAGTACCAAAGTAACTTACAAGACACAAATTTAAAACAATTTACTCCTTCTTTTTCATTTTTCCTGAATCGAGAAAGCACTCTAAAAAATTGACATAAAGTTCAACTTAAAAATACGGGCGTTTATTAATGTTCCGAAAATAGCCGAGTTAGTTAAAAAAAATTTCTGGAACAGTATTGAGGTATAGCACTATACAGAAATTAATTGTGCATAATTTTGGTTAATTTGAAAAAATTATTGCCTGAATTAAGAAAATCTGTTACAAACAATTGTTTGAGGTATTTGAGTAGAAGTTGTTTAATATGAGTACCTATTTGAAATTAGTTTTATATAGTATTTGTAACAAATTAAAAATAAAGCATGTAAAAAATATCAAAAATAAAACGATTGTATTTAAAAATAAATTGATTAGTAGAATTTGTTCATAAGATTTTGTTAAATTGTTAACGGTGGAATAACCTTGTTATCTTCTTGTTTATATTATCCAATACGATTGCGACTGTCCAGTCAACTTAATTTTTCAAATCCTTAGCCCTCACTTTAACCTTCTTTATTGTATATCAAACAATGGTTTTTTTTAAAAGTCCGTCAGGAAAACATTAACAGTATCCTGTGTTGGTGAAACTGCTTCCAACAGTGTTTAAAAAATAATATCTCTTGTAGCCCTCTGCTCCATTTTCGTTTTTTTTTTCGAACATCAACAATTTGTTTGAATTTCAAAATCATTTTAATACATTTTTACTTCAAAACTTGTTTCCGAGGATTTAAAACCTCAAGTTCAATAGAATATTTTTACAGCATTTCTTACTACACTGTTAAAAACCCTCAGCGTACAAAAGGAAATAATTTAATTGTGTTTTCTTTCTTTGTCAGGCTATTAGAACTATAATCAGAAAATCAGTTTGAAGGTGAGTTTTTTGTATGCCTGAGGAAAATAAAAAGCTTTTTCGATGTATTTTTTATAAAAGGAAAACCGGCGTTTTTTTATCTACTTACCGACTTTGTCTAGAAAGCGAGAGCCCACGGACTTGTCGCCTTTTTATTCTCCGTCAAATAATTAATTTACAAAATTTGTAAGGCGTAGTCAAGTTTATTTATTTTTATGCTTTATTCACAAGTTAAACGAACAGCGATCACGTACGCCGGACCCGTGCAAGAAACGATAATGCGGGGGTTACATTGTATGTGTACAGGAATGATGATGCACGTCAAAGGATTATTCATCATAAAGCTGTACGTGAGATAGTTCTCTAAGAAGGGCCGAGAATCTCCTGAGGATCGACTAGTCCTGGCAAAAGCTTCCTCTTGGTTGAATGTTGTATGTTGGAAGGTTGAATGTTGGCTAATCGGTATCTTAAAGCGTCTGTCTATATAGGTACTGTTTCATTTCAGGGCCAAAAACGATACATTTTTTTCAAATTATAATCCGGTTACATTTCATTATTTGATGTTTAAAAAAAAAATGTTGTATAAAAAAGGATTCCTTGCTAAAAAACAACTTGGGTTATAGTGTGTTGTTTTTTTTTAAAAAAAAAAAAACGTATTAAGGTCATAAATGTATTTTTTATATTGCATATATTCTAATATATTTTAATCGGTGTTCTATTAGTCGCAAGTAGTAATCAAAATTAATACCATAACAAATGTTTGACGTGCACAGACATCTCTAACGACAATGAACTTAATCGAGATCAAGCTCACTTAGTTTCACAGATAGAGCTTAAAAACTTACAAGTTTAACTTGATTAAATTTAAAAAATCGAAACGCAAAGGTTATAGCAAACTCTTGGGTTTTAACGATATTAAATGTTGACTGAATATCGGAGAACAATTAATTATATTATTTTTTTCCTTCTCGGGAATGCGCTATAATTTTTATTATTAAATGTCTTTTATTCTTTGAATATTTGTGTACACTAATCATTATTTTCTACAAACAATAATATTTATTTTCATAAATCATAGCAAAAAAAAAATATACTAAATTAAGTATAATTCTATGAAGACTATATTGCTATATCAGTAACCTTATTTAAATATTATTTTTTTTTTAGAATTCAAATAAACAAACTATATATTTAGGTTAACTCATGCTGTTTACGTTAAAATTAATCTTACTTCATGGTACTTATATTTACGTATTATAGTACTTATATAGTATTATTATAGTTGTAGTAATATTATAATACTGTATTGCTTATTATCGGCGATTTGAATGTTTAAGTTCGAAATCGTCTCGTTCCATTAAAATAGTAAAGTTGGCCGACATAAGGTGAATAAGTAGAAATTCAACATCTGAATCGGAGACCGACTCCTAAGCCTATTGCCTTGGTAGTTTGAATTCAACTGCTTTTTAGTATGATATACTGTCGTTGACTCAATCCAAAACATTGTCATTTAGGCACCCTAACTTTATTTCTAGCCGTCTTCGCCCAACCTCACGAACTCAGAATCTGTCCGCGTATCAAATACATTTTAAGATTTATATCTCATGTTATTATTGCCAGCCATTTTCCGTACCGTTTCCCTGTTTCGGTCGCATATGGCCGATGAGTTAATCTCGACGTGCAATCAAAAGCGGTGACGTTATAAATCGTCCGGATCCCATGCGGGAAGGGTTCCTGCTCAGCACGGGAGGAGCAAAGCATTGTCAAATTCGGAATTGCAATACTTCGGTCACCCCGCAATAAAGTCTCGACCGACACCCTCCTTACATTCAGTATATTATAATCAAAATAATGAAACGTCGTCGCATAATAAGGTCGATGGTATACAAAAAAAACCATCTATATATAAAAAATACATATAAGACAGGTTCATATAGATTATACATGTATATATATATATATTTTTTTTTTTTTTTAAGTATTATAGGATTTGAATAATGGATTACAATCAGTACTGCTGCCAAAGATCTGCTGGTAAGTACATACTATAACGTACTTTTCCGTAACGATGTCGCCGCCATTACAATACCTACTCTTTATATATGTTTTTACTATATAGACTTTACGTACTGTATTATTCTGTATAGGTATAATACATCTTTATACTATATTACTAATGTTATCACACCGTTCAATGAGCGTAAACGGCGCATTATCGTTTCCAGATTATTTATTGTTGATCGAAGCTGATTTTTAAAAGTCTGTATCAGTTTTGAAAGTCCAGACATATAAATTGATATATTTTGACAACATCCATTTAAAAGTATAATAAAAATGATTCATAATTTTTATTTTATTTGCTA